ACAAAGAGATCAACTGAAATGAAACCAAGCACAAAATATATACAGCGCTTAGAAAGCACAACCCTAAGAGCCCTGGACAGGAGAGAACAACTGTTATTTGTGACTAAAAATGTGACAAGTGTGCTGACAACCTTCCAAAGGGCATTCTGGTATTTTATTATTGTGCTGTGTTTGCTAATATTTGTTCCCTAGTGTTTCTATTCCAGTGTCATGCTACAAATAGGTACTGGGCGGGATGACAGCTCACAAAGAATTTGCTAAATCCAAAGAAGGAGCACCCATGCTTTTCAACTATCTGGACTTGGGAAGTTTCAACTATATGGCTTTTTGAGAAGTTGAACAAAGTCAGCACTGCCCCTGGTTTCGGGGGGCTTGGTTTTTTAATCAATTAGGAAAATACTTTCTTTTCATTGAGGGGAAAAAATGAAAGGAACTTCACTTTTACCACAGGAGGGGCTAGTTTCAGACCTGTGGGGTGAGCTAGAGCAGAGGCTTCATGAGCTGAGCCTATTGCACTGGACTGTTCCCCATGTACGCACATGATCACAGCACTAGAGGCAGAATGACTCCTTGAAAGCCAACAGCTTTCCACCTGCTGCTTAATTTGACAGGGCTGCAAGCTCAGGAAATAGCCCATTTACTAACCCTGGCTTCCCCGCACCTAGTGTTCAGCTCAGCCAGCCAAGTCACTGAAGCCCTAATAGCTGTATTTATCCTCCTGGCAAGTGAGGAGACACGGAGAAAGCAGGGAAGGACGGACAGAAGGCATCCCAGAAGAGGAGCAAGGAAAGCCATACAAACAAATGTGTTTTGGGTGTAGAGCACATTTTGCAGAAGGCAGGAACTCCCCCATCCATTAGGACTTGCTGTCTAAGCAACAAGAGTTGCTGGCAGACACAACTGACCTCTCTGAAAAAAACTGTTTCAGTAAATGACAGGGAGAGAAAAAATAAAAGATGAAAAGGAAGAGAGGCATCAAAAGAACAGGAACTATGCAAACCAGGAGGCAAGCGCAGGGGCCATTTGTCTTCCCCATCTACAGAAATGTGAAGGCACATGCCAAAGGAATAGCAATAGTGAAGGGCACCTGAGGACATTTGCTCCTTACAGAACCCTCCAGGAGTGCTCCCCTCCAGGAGACGAAGCACCTGCCATTCCCAAGGAGCCCAGAGATGGCCCAAGAGGGAGAGAGGACAGCCACTGGAGCACTCAGAACCAGCTACTGCTGTCTGCAAGATGCTGCACTTGCCAAACACGTTTTGATGGAAGCCATCTCATCCCAAATTTGTAACACGAACAGTCTGGGGGTTTCACTTAAGTTCAGCTGAAATTCAGACCAGAAAATAACAACACTGCTCTCCCAACAACTCATCCTAACATGATGCGTGTCTCATTTCCTACGTATTAAAGAACAAATGATAAAACCTGGTATTTATGAGCTTGGACTTGCAACCAACTTTAATTTCATATCCATTTGAAGAGAAGCTGGAGGTCCCCCCAAAGTCTCACTGAGCAGATCTACACTCACAAACGCCACTCTTGCTCCGAGTCCCAAACATTTCCCATGGGAGCAGTGCTGTACCCCAGCAACAGGGCACGATTGAGCCTGCAGTTATATGAACATGCAAAGGACATAGGAAACTGCCATTCCAGTGCCAGCAGTTTCTAGTTAACCTCATATTCCAAAATGTATTGCTATTCCAAAGAAAAAAATGTAAGTAATGGCAGGAAAGGTGTTTATAAAAAACATGCCTCTCCACTGTTAGTGGCCTATTCATTAATGTTTGGAAATGATGGGAAATAATGTCCTGCCTTCCACAGTAAGACAGAAATGTGACGAAAATGTTTGCATGCGTTGACCGAGCAAAGGAAAACCTTTTTCAAGCTGCCCTTCTGACTCCAGTGTATCAACAGTTTGTCCCCCGTGCCCCATGACTACATCTGACACCACCTCCCTGGTTTCTATCATGAGTTGAAAAGTGCTAGTCAGATTCCAAGATAAACCTGTCAATAGCGAGGCACAGACATTCGCATTCTTCCCTACCTGCTTGTGTCAGCTGTTTGTCTGGGAGCAGCCCCTTGAAAAGCTTTTACTGAGAGAGAAAAAGGAAAGGGGGATGTAGAGGGCATTTCAAACAGGAAGAAAATCAGGGAGGGGAACCCCACAAAGACTGCAAAGAGAAAATAAAATTAAAAACCCCACAAAAACTGTCCCCATCAGGTCCTCCCAACAACCTTCTTTATCAGAGGTTCATTGTCAATCAATTAGCCAAGGCAGCAGGGGTCTGCAGGAAGGGGGGTAGCTCCAGAGACAATGGTCTGCCCTGTTGTATTACTATTTAATCACTTTTCCTAAATAAATAAAGCAGCCCTGAGGTGCTGTCATGTCAAGGGAATTTATAACAAAAAAACCCTTCATTTTTCATTGGTCATTACTTTTCCTTCCCTCCCACCCCTGCAGGACTAGAGAGGGTTATTACTGTAGCCTTAAGTTCCATCTTTGTGTTGCTTGCCTTTGATTCCCACTCGGACCTTGCCACTTTCTGGCACTAATTTGTCAGGCCGAACAAAGGAGGGATTTGTACCTCCTGTAAGGTCTCAATTAGGAAAGGCTTCTGCTGTATTATGTGCCATTGGGACAGGACACAAAGACGGTAATTACAGGAATTTGCACTAAATGGCTGAAGAATTCACAGCAAAACTTTTCTTCCTCCCCCCTCCTCATCCTTTTCCAAGCTCACCCCTCCCAGCAGCCCTGGGGAAAACCGCTCTCAATGCCTGCAAGATGTAATTACCAACAGCAGGCCCCTTAGGTTAAACAGCAGCCCATGCCAGGGGGAGCAGAGCAAACTGCCTGCAGGGAGCAAGGTACAAGGAGAGTCTCAGCTTGCTGGTGTGCCTCCAAAGGCTCCTCACACAAACTTTGCTGAACCAGACGAGTTTCCCCAGTTTCTCCCAGTTGTAATTACAATTCTTCATTTCTTTGCACCGTGGTAACAGCTACAAGTTCCAGGCAAATCTCAGAAACCAACTTGAAGGGTCTCACACAGATGGCAAAGGGTCCGAAACCACAGGAAGTGCTGTGCATCCCCACCCTCAGGTCCAGGGAATTCCAGTGGCCGGCTCCTCACAGCCTCCCCGCCACTCACATTTCTTTGCACAAGTGTTTACTCAGTTTTGTAGCCTAAAAGGAGGCCATGGGAGCACTGGGAATGCCTCACGTGTGTCAGGGAAAGACTCCATGCAACCCTGACACAGCCAGAGCAGCTTACTTTTGTGGGGAACGCATGAGTGTGTGCAGATCAATCATCCCATGTTTGGGAGAGGAAATACATCCTTTCCCACAGAAAAGTCTGCTCCCATACTACATAATGCAAGACTAAAACCTCTTTCATATTGAACACATGCATGTTGTTCCCATCCCAGGGCCTGATCCTATTTTTGAGGAGGTCATTGGAAATGCTCACTTGAAACTCTCCTGGACCTCAGTAAAAGGCAAAATTATGAATTTTTCCTCTCCTGAGCTTAAGAAATTAGGAGACAGGGTTAAAGTTTTAACTTTGTTTGGGACATTCCCTTAAAATTAAGCTGTTAATTCCACTGCCCTCTTGAGTTTCATAAAGCTCTCTACTGGGTAACACACTGGGCTAGATCCGTCTTGGGCATATTTATTTGACCCATTCCCAGAGTCTTCCTCCAGTTTTCACTCTCACAACTGTCCTTAAAAGTAAGACATGACCATTGTCCAACAGTGTTCAGGTAATGACAGTCATCACAGGACCCAGGCACCTTCAGTGTCAGCAGTAGTTTGCCACATAACTACTCCCAGAACAAAAACAATATGCATTCACACAAAGAACATGCAGCCAAGAACAGAACTGAGGTCAGGCAGAAGCCCAAATGTTGTGACCACATCACTAACTGCAGGGAGTACAATCTTCATGATGCTTCATGACAGCAGGTGGGTGCCATGCACTGGAGAGGTGACCAGGAACACTGCCCATGGGTGACTACTAGACAGGGACAAACCCAGCTGCATCCACAGCAAGTTCCAAGGGCAACCCAGTACTTCTGGGGCTCAGGTCTCCAGTGGACAGGATTCAGGCCAGCCAGCAGGTCCTGGAACCCCAACCACCCCCCCCCCCCCGAGCCAAGCGTGGCTCCAGAGCAATAGGAGACCTCCACATCAGACCCCTGTCCCAGAGCAGAGTGGGGAAGACACCGGACCCTCATAGCTCCCATAACAAAAGAGGAAAACCCTCCACAAAAGCTGTTTCTGATAAAACTGACAACTTCTGACTGCAACTAAAGCCAGCGCGTACAGCTTAGGCACAAAGCGTCCAAATTTGTTCCACAATGTTACCCTTCGTAAAGTAAAAGGACTGTGTATCCACATGGGTCCCCTCTATTTTCACTTCATTCCCAAAGGGGTAAAATCATGATCTAGCCTAGGACTAGAGTCAGCAGCCAAATGAACCAAGATTTTCAATTAGATGCAGAGGCTTAAGGTCATGTTTTCATCCCTGCCTCAAGGGAAGAACCAAGCAGATGAGCTTATTTTGTTATATTATGTTCCTCAGTGCTGGAACACAAGTTGCCAAATGACAGTGTTTCAGGGAAGCATAAATGCTTTGAGGAATCCCCTCAGAAGGCCCAGATCTGAAACTGAGGTCAAAAAATTACCTGGAGATGTACTAATAAAAAGAAGCAAAAGCGCTCAGAGTTGGAAAGTTGCATCATGTCCAGAATTCAAATCTCTTTGATTATGAACCACCTTTCCAGTGTCCTGAATCAAGAAAACAACTGAGCCACCCTGTAAGGCAGCCCTAGCCCGTGTAGTGCTGTATGTGCAATAAAAGGCTAACACTCCAAAGTATTTATGGCCATAGTGAGGTGCAGGGATTGGCTGTGTGCTGCTAAAACACATACATGCTCTTCTGAGTGACTTCCTTTTGGTGCAGAAGGGGAGTGGGTGCAGGTGCTGCAGCCTGCTTGCTTACCTGCACACTTGAAGCTCTGAACTGTGAGCCCTCTCTCTAGAGACAGCGTGGTCAGGATGCTCAGGAAGCTGGTGGTCACAGACTGGCGCTTGCTCTTCCTAAGATCGTTTCCAAAGGGGCGATCTCCAGGTTTGTTCCGAAGCGTGACCTGTGGGTTCTGAGTTAAACTTCTAGTAGCATTGGCTGCTGCTCTCAGTGCCTCCATCCACTCCTGAGCCCTCTGACGGGTCTCTGCCCGCAGGCGGAGGACATCTTGGGGAAAAATGACCTGAAAGCAAGAGTCACAGTCATCCTGAGTATCTGTCTGGACTGACAGGCACACATCCACATTGTAGCTCAGCAGAGGATCTTCATCCAGCCTACCCGGTTGAAATGCCATGAGATAAGACCTGTTCAAGACAAAAGTAAATGCCTTCCAGTTATTCTGGACAGTCAACCTATAAAGAGTCCCTGATTTGAGGATATTTTGGTACTCTTTAGTGTTTTCAGTCAAATTCATGGATAGGAAGAGCTCCATAGGCTTCTCTAACAATCCATTGGTTTTGGAAAGGTCACTGTTATTTTCAGGCTTTGGCACATTCTCCAGTTTCTCCTGTGGTCTTGTGAAAACAGGCACAGAAGCACGCACCAATTCCCAGAGTTTCTGTCCCCAGTCCAAAGCCTCCCATGAGGACTCTGCCTTCAGCTGTAGCTGCGAGTTGTCTGACAGGACAGCATCCACCACTTTGGTTTCAATGCAACCGCTGACAGTGACCCTTTGAAAATGCATGAGCGGATACACGCTGGGAAGAGTCTGGTTGCCACTGCTGTCCAAGCAATACAGGTACAGTTTGTACGGGGTGAGCTCAGCGTAACAGGTTTGCCAGTAACTGTCGCTGCCTCTTCTGATTTCTAAGTATCCCTTCTTCAGAATATTTGGGAACATTGGCTTGTGTTCTGGAGGAAACAAAATGAGAATGTTACCATTAATTCTTTTTAATTAGTCGTTTCAAATTGCTATGTCATTCTGGCTTATACATCTTTCCTACTCATACATGATGTATCTGAAGGATAGGATCACAGAAATAGCATTCACCCAATAGGTTATAATTATCCAACACAAGCACTGACTACATCTGAGCAAACGAGAATACAGCACTATTTTATCCAGAGGTACCAAAATACTTTACAAAAAAGGGGACAGGGAAAGAGAGGGACAGAGAACCAAAGCCATTTTCCTGAGATTATCCAGGAGAACAGTGACAGAGCAACAAAACTCTCTAAGTCTCCCAGAACCTAGTCCAGGAGAGTACAGCATTATCAAGTAATTTCTTACCAACTAAAATAGATTTCAACAGTGAGAAACATGTGCAAATGAAAACAACACCTTCCCCTTCTGCCCCACTCTTTCCCAGGCTCAACTTTGTGCTTTCACAAACACAACCGCTACCTCCCCTCTGTCCCAGGCAGCATAGGTGGAAGAGGAAGGAGGGGTCATGGCCAGTTCCTCTGGCTGCTCCTTCCTCCTAACCCTTTTCCGCTGTTCCAGTGTGGGTCCTCTCCAGGGGCTGCAGTCCTTCAGGATAAACTCCTTTTCATGAGCACTCCATGGCCAGAGCTCAATTCAGGAAATCTCCACCTTCTCCAGTATGGGGTCCTGGATAGGGCTGCAGGAAGATACCTGCTCCACCATGTTCTCTCCCCCAGGTTCCAGGGAATCCCTGCCTTTGGGCCACTGCAACTGGCTGGAACAGCACCCAGGCACTCCGTCTGGACTTACCCAGGACACAGAGAATGGAGAACTGTGCCCAACAACTACAGTTTCTTACCACATTTCAGCACGATCCAGAACCAGAACATTTTGCACAGCTCCATTTAATAGAGAGGAGCTTTGCTGATTTATGAGAATCGAGCTCAGGACCAGCAGATATGACCAAGAATGAAAAGTCAGAGGCTGCCCAGTCTCAAACACATACATCTAAGCATCTCAGCACTGCAGGTGCTTCAGAGCAGACCCTTTCACAAACCTTGGCTCAAGACAAAGTCGAGGGTAATTTTCTTTGTCCTCAGAAAACCAGCCACATATGAGTCACTCTGGACACCAAAGTGATACAGATTTAGAAAGAATTATCTAATGCTTTCCCAAGTTTTAAGAAAGGTTTCCGTACAAAATTAGTTCCAACCTCATTTGCACCACTTCAGCCACATGCAGACATTGTATTTTCACCTTGGGCTGGACATGCAGCTCTATGCCATTTCTGTTGGTCCCTGTATAAATTCAGTGGCATTCAGTTGTTTAACACTGACTTTAACACTTGGTACCCCAAAACCACATGTCCTTGAGGAACAATTCTTGCTCCCATTTGACTGCTACTTCATCTTTCCAGTGAGGGTATCTGTGATGGGTCTTGACTTACAAACAGTGCCAGAATTAACAGACACACATGAAGAGGTTTCTGCCTCCAGCTGTCCATCTCCCTTGGAAACCGCTATTCCTGACGCAGGAGCAAGGCAGCCACCTGGGAACAGCTCCTCATCCACTGCCAGGCACAATTAGGTCAAAACGAAATCAGCATCAATTGACCTTAACACACAGCATTGTCACAAACCGAAGCAATACAGGAGCCGTTTCACTCATGGTTTCTGCCCTCAGGCTGACAACCTTTGAAAGACAGATAGGGGAGACAGCTGGAGGCACAAAATATTTTCAGCATCTCAGCTTAACCAGTTACCACTCTCATTAACAGGTCACACTCTTTAACAAGTTTTAGACATGATCACCTCCAAGTATACCTAGGGTGTCTTCCTCGCAGAGATAAGAGAACAGAAGCATCTGGGCTTGATGAAGCTTGAAAACAAAGAGCCAAAGATGAGCATGTACAGAAGTTACTGCTACCCCATCTGTATTGGGTTTCCCAGATAACATGGCCAGGACTGCTGGTCAAGCTGTTGTCACTACTGCTGGCTAGTAGGTGAGTCTGTTTACCCTCCCAGGGGCACAAGGAGAGTCAGGGACTATGAATATCTGAGGGACTTAGTTACCCTCCTTCAGTATGAGGGGGACAGTTGGTATCAGAAGTAAGGGCTTCTGATACCAGCTGGTGAGAAAGCAGAACTTAGGCTGTAACCCACAGTCTAAGGAGATGCTCCCATCCTTGGGTGAAAGCATTGCTGCAGTTGGTTGCATGAGTTTCACGTAGGAGCAGGAGGAAGATTCAGAGCAGCAACAGTGTAAGAGCTTCAGCTAGCTCTTCAATAAAGACCAACTTTAAGGATTTATAAGGATTTAGTAGACAAGCTTCAGTTAAACTTTATGAACATGCATGAGAATTAATTGCTTGATAACACTTAACTTGAGTATGCAAACCTCATGGAGGTCAAAGAAACAGGGGAAGGATGCTACCTCCCACCCATACTAACAAAAAGGATGCGCCCAGATTTCATTTTTTGAGCTCAGCCTCAGCCTCCCCACATCACCCACATACTCAGAACACAGCCCACATTTAACACTGTATTTAAAGCACTCTACACTTCATCCACAAAAATTTACTGCATATATGACTGAAACTGTAACAGCAGTTAAAAATTTGCTACTTTGGCACTAGGTCTGAAAAGGTAGAAAAGAAATCAATGTAACCGCATCTTGCAGACAAATAAGCTACTCAAGAGTATTTCAGCTATATATGAAAACTGAAAGCCTAACCTAAAACTCAAAATGGTAGAGAAAAAGCACACTTTCATAGCCCAAATGGATAGATACACATGCACGCTCACACACTAAAAGAGAACTAATTTTGTTCATCGTACATCTCTGGCCCTGACATTCATTAGTATTTCTGCGCTAACTCAAAAGCCATTAATTTCTCTGAAACCCACACTAATCCCTTTGTAGTGCAGATAATGGGCAGCCATTCTAGAGTCATCTTCCTTTTCTATTAATCCAATCAGGGAGGCAGTGCTTCTGCGGCTCCAACTGCAATCTCTCTCGCTTCCATCAAGTACAGATGACAGTTCAAGCTTCTCGATAATAAGACAACTCATAACCTTCCCCCAGCCACCCCTCCTTCATCTGCACACAGGTTTGCTTGTCTTTTGTTGAGTTAGAGAAAGGTTATCTCTCCCTGCCTTTCACAGAGGCAGCCCTGTCTCCCTCCTTCGCCCCACTCCATCCCTTCAAGCTCCCATGAATCAGCTCCATTGGCTCTCGCTCTAACTGGGACAGAACCAGAAGCCAACTTGATGAAAATTAAATGTCTCGTATTGTTTAGGTCAGAGCAATAGATGCTGACAGAGACAGGTTGAATCCATATGCTACACATACACACACTTTACAACCCTCTGCTCCTTTATCTCCTCAACACGCAATGTGCCGGATAATACCTTTCCACTCAGAGAGCAAATGTTACCATCGCTCCCATCCACCTTCCAAACAGAAACTGCATCTCTTTTCCTCCCTACAGAGACAGGGAGTAAATTGAGGAAGAGTGAAAAAAGGGAAATAATCACAGCAAATAGCCCACACCTGAGCCATTTGGAGGTACAATTTCAAGGGAACAGGGGGAAAAAAAGTAGAGGGAAGCAAAGACAGACTCAGCAGCCAGGGACGGGGCAGTATCTTCCTCAGTGTTTCTCCTCTCCTTTGAGAACTGCTCACTTGTCCCAGCCAGGAACTCTGCACAGAGAACACACCAACCCCTCTCCACACGGGGGGCTGCTGGTGAAACCACCACCCCAGGAGAGAGTCCAAATGTCTTAGCATGTCCAGAAGATACATACTCCTGAAAAACTGACTGCACTTTCAACCCTGTTAGTATGGCAGGGAAACTTGAGCTGTTTTCCAACACTGAAACATTTCTGATGGCAGTAATACCAAGTAACGTGGGAAAGAGCAGAAGCAGAGATGCCTACTTTCTGAGGGTTTGTCTCTTGCGGTGGCACTCCTCTCTGGATTCTCTAGTGCTTAGTAATTGATGAGCATATGTTACAGAGCTCTTATCAATGGTCCTCCAATTTGATCTCCATAGAAGTTAGGTTTCACATAGAACCTCTGGGACTTAAAATGCTCTCAAACTGGTTTGGGCTAATCACAGGCTTGATGGGGTTTGCTAGATCAGGGGCAAATTGTGCCTCAGCCAGTGTGACTCAGATCTACAGTGTCCTGTAAATGACTGTAAAAATAGAGTCTTTTCTTCCCACTTATTTGCCCATCTGGTTATGCAGGTATTTCTCTTTCAGGCAAGCGTATCTGATAGCACTTGGTCCCAAAATGATGGCATTCATATTTAGCCACAGATTTCCAGCAGATTTTAGCCAGATCTGGTTTCCCCAAATGCCATCTCTTTTCAAGGGACCAGTACAGCAGTGGGACTTGTAACCAGGTAGCTGTTTGCATTAATTTATATAAAGAAACAGCATCTCTCTCCACCATAAGGGCATTCACTCTATTGTCTTCCTTAAGCTTAGGGAAAGCAAAACCTTCCTTGAAAATGTTGAACTTGCAAGCTCTTCATTTTAGATTTATGCACTGCTAGTGAGACTGGCTTTGCTGTTTACCAAAAATAAGCTCCTCACTGAATGAACTGCTGAAACAGATGGCTAAAGAACCTCAACAGTTTATTCCTTAATAAATTATATAGTCTTTCCCTTCAGGTGTGGCATTGTATGAGAAATACATGAGAAACTCTGCTGATGTCTATAGGATCCTGGCTGCCCAGCCACTCCATCCGATCCTTTTTGCTCCTCTGCAGCAAGTGGAACACTTGCATAGTGTGCATACTGACACAGAGCCTGCATGAAGGGGGCTGTAAAGAAGGAGGCTGGATTCAAAGTGCAGGACCAGCCCAGAACAGGACTCAACTCTGGCAGAGACAGAAGTATAATGAGTTGAAAGAGATTGTTACTTACTACCAGTTAGGAGATGCATGAAACAGCAGTACTTGCAAAAGAAGTGAGAATATCAAATGAGGATAGATTTGCTGATGTTTTTATAAATTCACTTAATTCAGCTTTAAAAAGTTGGAAGAATGGGTATGAGAGCTGGCTGACCCCACTAAGGGAATGATAACAACTAACCTGAAAATTCAGTTATGAAAGTCATCACAACATCACTGGAAGCAATCAGCACTGCCCTAAGAGATGAAATCTTTTCATTAACTTTATGGAGTGTTATAATTTTGCAACAAAAATCTCCATAAAGAATAACCCTCCCAGCCAGAACAGCTTCACAACCAAACTCATCAGTGTTGTTTACTTTTATCCTCCTGCTCTGTGAACTTACCCACAGTGTTTATATGTGAGGTCCTCCTATCACCTCCCTCTGCTCTCCACCCTGCACCCTCCACAGCCTCCCAGGCAAGGGAGGAGAGCAGGTCACGTTTCCCTCCACTGGAGGAGGTAGCTGCCCAGTCTAACCCCCTCCACTGCTACTGTTGCTGCCAGCTCCTTATGGTTCAAAGGATGCCCAAGCCTAAGGAGTGATCAGGAGTGAGCCTGCATGGAACAAGTGCTGAAAACCCTGACTTTGCCAGGGGGGGTTAGCATCATCCAGCAGATGAGTTGAAGTCTAAATTATACTCTCATTTCATGCTGGGCAAAGTGCCTCACCTCTCTTTGTCCCTGCTCACCCTCCCTATCCTTACTGTGTGGTGTATTTAAACTCACGAAAGAAGGGACTATCTCTTGCTAGGTGTGCAGACAGTCCCTGGCACTTACAGACCTCCGCAATGAAGGGCATCCCACTCGCATTCTATTTTAAATAACATTTTTGCCTCCTCAAATCTTGATAGGCCCTGAATCTCTGTGGTACAGTTACCTTTTCCTTGACTACCTTTTAATGCTGAAAACAAACTGGCCACAGGGTTGGGTGGGGGTTGGAACAGGGACATCAGTTCTCCAACTGGCCTGATACCTCTGGGATTATTTCCAAGTGGTTTGAGGCTTCCTGCTCTCCAAAGGGGAAGGTGCAGAAGTGTTGTTTCCACACATCTGCTTCTCAGCACCATTATCTTCTGCGTAACACCACAGACCTATAATGTTCTGCCATCCCAGCGGCAATTAACAGCCTTGGTCTGCCCTAATCGTGTAGCTTCTTACACACCACAAAGAACAGTGCTACAGGGGTGTTTTACAGAATCACAAATGGCAACTAGGCTTCAGAGACCTCCCTGGCTAGTACCAGCCACCATTACTGAAGGTGAAGGTGAGGATAGCTGGCAAACAAACACCCTGACATAAAGCCTGTGGTCATCAGAGTAAAAGAAAGCAGCACTGTAAAACGATTCCTCAGAACGCAAGGCTCCCCCCCAGTCCCTAGCCTGTGAATCGGTGGTGTGTTGCTCATGAATACAGATTTAGGTGTCTTAGCTCTATGAAAACACACAAGAAAAGCACATAGTATGTACCAGAGCTATATGAAAAGGAGCCCAAGCCTTTCTTGAAACATCCCCTGTGCAAACTCTGAGTACAAGATCATACCTTGAAAGTGTCCCAGACAATGGCTAGGGTCCCAGCCAGTTGAAAAAAGACATGAAGAGAGGAGGGGAAAGACATTTTGTTAAACCAGTCTGCCAAAGGAAGATGGTGAAATCCTGGTCTCAATCAGGCACAGCAGAATTTGGGCCTGTTGGCCAGTTTTAAGACAGACACCTTTCTGCGATACGTCTGTTTTACCACAGTGCTGTACAATCCCGTAGGCTCAGCTTCCTTGCAGAACATACTGCCAAAACCAATAGGGCTGGTGAAGTACCGCCATAGCTGCTGCCAGAGAGGGGCACAAGTTGCCAGCCTTCTGCAGCAAGGACAGTATGTCACTGGGCAGGTGCTCGGCACAAAGGACATTTTCCCACACAGGCATGGTAGGCAAACAGAACAGCCATCCAGGAAAAGTACCATAGCACCCACACTCTCAGAAGTGGCTGTGTTTGAATGAAAACATCCATGCTCATACGTTGTGTTTTGCTGGATACTACAGAAGCTGCATTCTCCCTTTGTTTGCAAGGCCACATGCCCAGAAATACAGAAGCCTGACTTGAATTTGGTTACAACTACCATCTTTGCTAGGTCCACTTCCCGCTTGACACTGCTCTGCAGCCCAAACAGTGCTCATCTCTAGCACACTAGCTGCTCGGCCAGCAGGCCTACGCGGATACTGCCCCAAAAGGCACAGCTTCTTTTGAGATCCTTTTCTTTCACAGCACATGGAAAAGATCCAGTTTAATTTTATTTGTATTATAAAAAAGCAAGCAGCAGGAACAGATAAGCTCATAGTAATAAATATACTATGAAGATAAGGAAAAAAACTGTTAAAGAGTTAATCTATGCAGCAACTCGGCCAGCCTCGGAGGACCGGGAGACCTCTGCAGGCTCCAGAGGGAAGTCCTTTACTGCAGTAAGGACTGACAGGAGCGGCTGAAGTTGCACTCAGTATCCCATATGCATCCATTTAATCTGCATTAAAACCCCGGAAAGGGATGTCTCCACAGGCTGCGGCCACGGTGATCCCTTCAACCACTGCCTCAGCTTGTAGCCAACCTTAAAACCCCTTTTTCAGTCTTTCGTGGAGAATGATCACCAGTCCCAGATACACACACTTGCAACGCCTGCTTTCTTGCTTTTGCTTTTCTCTTTTCAGCTCAGCTTACTGTAGCAGCAAACTTTATAGGAGCCTCTTCTGTAAACACAGAGGGAAGAAATACCACAGCTACCTTCTAAGACCTGCACAGCAGCTGAACAGGTTATGGAAACAGGTTAAAAGAGTGCATTTTCAGAGCACAGGAGTTCTCTTTCCTCAAGGATGGTACCCCTGCCTTCAAACATCCCATGCAGAAAGGCTCTTGGAAGGCACGCAGCAAGCACTGACAAATGCCTTGTACCTTCACAAGAGGCAATAGAAGAAACATGGCTGAGCCCTTCAGAGGTACTGACTGCTGATGGGCTGTGGGTGAGTACTGGGGGAGGTTCTTCAGTCACTCTTACTAATCCATTTTTCCCCCTTTTTCAGTTCACCTCAGATGAGCTAGAAGGTACCTGACATTATTGCAGACAGTCTAAACCCAAGAGCTTCCTTCACTGAAACCTGTCAACTTCTGTTTTTCTTGAGAGTGCCGATATTGCTATACTTCACTAAACTACTTCAGAGATGTGAGGTCTTCACAGTCACAACTTGCAACTACAAACTGTTTAACATGAAAGCGTAACGATAAAGAGCGCATCACACTCTAACACAGTTTGTTCACTTTTTCTGTATGAAGAAATACTTCACTGGGCTAACTGCATTTAAAAAATGTAAGTGCCTGCTCAAGGGCTGGGAAGAGTACAAGTGAACTTCACTGCTACTACTAAAGCAGCACGCCTTGGGTACTCACTGTGATAGGGACTGCCTGAACACAGCTAAGCTTAAGGAATCAATCAATTGCTGTTGATCTAAGCCAAGTGGACTGGACCAGCTGAAGTGGGAGCCAGGGTCAAAAGGCATACAGAAGCGTTTCATGTTAAGTTAAACCCATAAGATGCTCAGGATACAGCTGACAAAACCTGAGAGCTCTGTCTTCAGGCTTCTAGGTGTGTTCCTGTTCTGCATCCCTTCCACGGGAAGGACAGAGACCCCACTCTACAAGATCCAATGTATCTCCCTGAACAAAAATAGCAGCAAGCATACTTGTGTGTGTGTGTGTGTGTGTGTGTGTGTGTGTGTATACACACAATATATATATACTGAGGAATATATATACACATATATATACAATATATATACACTGAGGAATATATATACACATACAATACATATATACAGCAAGTATACAAATATACTTGTATACAAGTATACAAGAGAACCCTTCTCTGGGATAAAGCAACTATGTCACAATATAACACAGTAACTTACAGGGTTTTGTAGGTATATATACATTCATATACCTACACACTATATAGGCACCTGCTTTTCATTCTCCAGAATAGCTGACTTATCTGGAAAACCTAACTCAAAAGGTTAGTTTTAACCCTAAACAGGCTACCTGTTCATAACTGGAGTCATTCCATCATACATGCAGACACGCTTGCTTTCACAACCCTTTGATTTATAAATTCCTTTGTTAAGTCCTGCCTTTATTTAGATTATAAAAATCATGGTGGCACTGGCTGCTTTTCTTTTCCATAAGTGCCCGGTCCACTTCTGGCATCTACAAAATAAATCACAGACACGGAGACACTGGGTTAGTGTTTCCGAAGCCCTGAGCACAACCTCTTCCAGTGCAGCGCTTGAGGAAGGAAAAGGAAGAAGTATCACTAGCTGAAACTCCGCTTCATACTGCCCGCTGGAGACGCCTGCCTCCATCTGATAACAAGACTTCCTGTAGCCCATACAAAGCTGGCAGAGATGTATTGACAAGCACAAATTGCATGCTTCAGATTTTGGTAATTGTTTATGGACTGAGCAGCCAGCATTTCTTAAAGAAGCAGAGCAGAGGTCTCAGGCCTCACAGTAAAGCTTTGTATGCCCCCTTTTTAATGGCCACTCTAACTGAAAACTGTTTGGATTAGCCATTCTCCCATGAGCTTTAGCATTCAGAGGTTTTTTTCAGTTTGGGAACATCAGGTAAGGAAAAGGTCAGAAATACATAAAATCTTTTTCTTTTCCTGAGTCAAACTGAACAAAATAGAAGCAAAAAGTAAACCATGCTTAGTTTTTAAACCACAAAACAGAAGACTGGTTTAAAAACTGATCCTTAGGCAGACAAACAGACAGAGCTACACCAAAGACAAGAGAACTGTGCTGGCTGCTATCCTCTTAAGAGCTACCTCACAGCTGTCTGCTTTGGGGGGCTGTCTGGTTTTATGTAAACACCCAGCTCTTCTTTCAAGATAAATATCAGAAACAAATAGGAAAGTCCTCATATCAACAGGAACAATAAAGCACCAGCACGAACCTGTGTTTCCTTGGATGTCCTCTCCCTTGGTTAGTGCCAGGTAAGAGAGCAGAGCACAGTTATTGTCCTGACCGGGCGCAGGTGGCTGCTGCAGGGAGGTCCCCGTGAAGACCACTCCCCAGTTTACATGGCTGATATCAGAGCGTGACCTGTTGTGCCCTGGTTTGAATGTGGAGGCTTCCTCATTCTGCCCCAGGATGTCATTCACCGAGCGAGGCCTGTCTCTCCTCCGCTGGCAGATATGGAAGATATTAAAAGCTGTGGTCTCCCCTTCCCCTGCCCAAGCAAGGTTGTCAGCAGCTGTTCCCTTCTGCACCACACGCTGGTCTTTGGCGGGGAATGCTGTCTGAGCTTTGGTTTCCAAGAGGCCATTTTTGCAGTGATCCCAGATGAGGGTACTTTTGGCTAAGGAGGCGACATTCCTCAGGTTCCTGCTTTCTGTGATCTGGTCAAATACCTCATGCCCAACCAGTTCGGGGACCTCATGCACGCCATACACCTCAGAGGGCTGCACAATCTTTTCAAGCTTTGTATCAAAACTATTGAAAAAGTCTTCAGTCACTTCCAAGGCAGGGCTAATGTCATCAACCTCAAGAGCCTCCATATCCTGTGCTGCCAGTGGGCACAAGGTGTTGCGATGCTGCAAGAAGATAACACATCAATATCCAGACAAAGAGCTGTTTCTTATCTGTCCTTGGCACACCATTAACTTAGAGGTGGTGGGGCAAATACATTCACCAGCTACAATCCTTCGTAGCAAAAAGGAATCAAATCAATATGCATTCAGGTAGAAGACTTGAATCAAGTGGGCTACTGTCCCTCTAAGAAATAAGCTTCAGGGACTGACAGTACCTGTAAAGCAAAGCAAAACATCACATCAGTAAGGGCCTTTTCCCAGATGAATACGTTTAATCACATCACTCCTTTCAGTCACAGTCCCTTTGATTTTAATCCCTTCTTCATTTGGCATCAACATTATTGTGTATGAACAACCCCTCTACGGATCCTGCTGTTTACTATGTGCGAACTCTGTGTATTATCACTTCTTGAACTGGAACCTGCAGACAGCAGGATGGGGCACCAGATACAGGGGAACCAAAGTGATGCCACTTATTAACCAAGCTTTGGGAAGATGGACTGAGAGGTAGCACTGACTAGCATCACAAATGCAGCCACCTAGGGAATGCATAGAACAGGTTCCCTTGGGGATGTAAGAAAAAGTTCTGTAATGAAGGGTTAGTAAAATAGTCCAACCAACCTCAAATAGTTTGCCTTTTTCTCCCAGACTGCTTTCACTCCCAATTTTGGGAGACCAACTTAAGTTTTACAGTAGCTACTTTTCCTACTTGTCTGCATAAACAGAACTTTTTGCCTAATAAATCTATACTATTAGGCTGCTGCAGAGCACCACACATAGAGCCTCTCTCTCTCTCTCTAGAATATTGTCAGGAACCTAAGTGAAACCATTGCCCCAGAAAGACAATGAATCTTACCAAAAAACAAAATACACCATGTCCTGCACGGTCATAAACCTACAGATCTTTCCTTCCAAGCTGCTGACACACTGGGCAAAACATAAGAGTGGCAAAGGGCTTTAAGGCTGAAACTACTGAGGAGCTGTACTGAACCACCTGAGCTCACATCTGTGAGGAGGCAAGGTGGTTTCTATTCCCTGTGGTGTAATATGGTGGGGCTCTCATAACTGATTTCTGTCACACCAAGCCTGCTGCCTTCTAACCTCTCCCTGCTGAAGCTCCATCCACAGTGCTGCCAGGTTCAAGGGACATGCACAGTAGGTATGGTTAAACTGGGGAAATCAGTCAAATGTGTCCAAGTTCTTGGCACCTGGAGACTGGGCATTCATGCTAGCCAGAAAACAACTCCCATGGCTGCTAGAAGAAATCACAATACCTAGAGCTTGTACACGCAGAACAGTCTGCATATCAGAGATCTACATCCCAGTTTTGAACACATCAGCTCAAGTCCTAGAAGCAGCAAAGCTGTATTAGCTCAGAGTTCTGCCTAGATTCATCCTCTCTTAACAGAACTAATTAGCCTGGGCAGGGCTGATAATTAGCAGCTCATTAGCTTTCGAATGCTGCTGAAGTGCTACCAGGACCCACGAAGATTTACACTTAGCAGGAAAAAACATCTATTAAACAGCATCAAACACAGATAATACTTCTATTTAAGGTTCTTCTTTTTAATCCAGAACAGTCTATTTGCCAAACTTCTATTAGTGAAGTCATTTAAACAGGCACACCTCCCTATAGCAAGCCAGAGGGACAAAGGAGGCCAGCAGCTCCCCCAAGAAGACGGACACAGAATCTCATAGCACTATCCAACCCCTTCTGCAATCACCATCTGTCTTCCTCCCACCCCTGCTTCAGTTGTGATCAGACATGACACAGTTGGGTTCAAAAGCAGCAGCTCATTCTCCCTCCTAACAAACAGATCAGCAGTTCAGTCCACAAACACAATCCAAGCAAATAACTTTTAAAAGCAATAAAAAAATCACATACATAACTGGAAACATCAAGCCTTTACAGTGGGATCTTTCCCCCCTTATCTCTTTGCAAGAATTCACTTCACCAACCTCATAGTTAACCACGACTAGGATCAGCTTTGAAAAGTAAGCAGAGTAAGACACTGAAGGCAGAGCCAGAACCATAACCAGTGGGCTGAACAAAACAGATCTGGAGTGGTTTCAAATCAGAGCAGTATGGGAACAGACTCTTTGCAAAGCTGTGCAACTGTGCCAGCTGATGGCAGTGAGAAACAGTCATCCTGGGCACACCTGCGTTGTCAGCTTAATGCAGCAGGGAGTTCACTCTGGAAGCTCATTCTTGCCAGTAACCCCCAACAGTGTTCTTATCCCTCGCACCTTAGACCTTGGTAGCTGTAGAACAGACTAACGGTCATGTAAACAGTCCACTTATTCTACATCCTTCTATGAAATGTCTTTACAGCAAAACTGATACTTTAAAGTTGCAAAACTGCAACAGGCATTCACTCAAAGCCAGCACTAACACAATCATATACCAACAGTGAAAGCTACAGGCTGGCCCATTCAAAGATGATGTTTCACCAGAGGTGGCAGAAAATACAGCTTTGCTATCACTCAAGGGACTGGAGCAGCAATCACTCCAGAAGGGCTTATGACATGTCACTAAGAATTTCAGCAGTAGCAGATGTAATGTTGCTCTGTTCTTTATTTTAAATCATTAGAAAAGGTGGAAAGCAAGGGGGAGAGGGGGAAAGGGGAGGGATTTACACTTACATTTAACAGGTTTATTTCTAAATGCTGCAGGCTTCATGTGGCTGCATGTTTCTCTGGATCCTGTGAGTCTGGATCCATCCAGTGTCATGCAGCGAAGCGTAGTGATGTCTAACTGACCTCATATCCAGTAAGATGCTGAATCATAAAGTCATGAGAAGATTACAGCCCCCTGCATCACACAGTTTGCAAACTGCAGCACTCATACCTTCCAAACTAGTTTGTTTGCTCTGCTCGATACAGATGTGAAAGGTGACCTCAATGGAGATGGGCTCAATTTCTTCGTACATCGCCAAGAAACTCCTTAGATCAAAGAAAGAGTTGTGTCAGTAATTCCCACGGGCGCTGGGATTCTGCAATCACACAACCTCCATAAACAATTTGGCATTTCCTGACAGTGGCACACAACAAAAATTCAATTCAAATGAAAGCAAACTTTGATATGGCAGTAAACAGCTCCATCGGAATCTCCTCCAGGACTGGAAATCAATTCCTTCACATGACAGGGAAAAAAAAAGTCAATGAATAGGATAGGATGAACTCCTTTTAAATTGCTATAAAATGTATTGCCTTAGGTATGTTACTTGGAAACACCTGAAATTTTCCAAAAACATTCAGCTTAAAACAGTGAATAGGACCGGAAGAGAGAAGCATCAGCCCAAACTCTTAGAGACTGCCAAAGCTATATGCAACTCTAAGTAGGGATTTTTTATGGGAAGCAGTCATCTATTTGTTCGTCTAGGCCCCTACTCTTACTAGAAAAAAAGGTGAAGGAACATGGTGCATTGTACTTAGCAAAAACTGCTGGTCACAGGGATTGCAGCAGCTGAAAAACATGTTTTTCTAATGCCTGCTTAGCACAGATACAGCGTTCGTCTCTGATCGTGCAGCAGTCAGATAATTAGTCTGCACTTACAACATGAGTAAATCTTTACTCTCATGAGCTTATAGTGGCCATGTTACTCATATGGCTGAGTTAAAGAGCAAGGATGCTGGTCATGCCACGTGAGACACACAAGTTCAGTTTACTTCCCTTAGAGAAGCCACAAGGACTTAAGCTAGGTGACAGCACAGCCTGACAGCAAAGTCATGGATGACAAATGCCAAGGAATGTACAATGGAATTGATCATTTAACTCAATGATGTGCTTTTCTGGACCACCACAGGCCAGGAAAAATACCTGGCATTGCATGATGAAAGTTAAAAAGTATGGAAAAGGCAAGGGTAGAAATCAACCCTGCAGGTGATACACACCATCACAACAGGCACTCGCTGTGTACCCCCAGCTTACACAGGATGCTCAGGACTGTTCATTGTAGCTCAGGAGAAAAAATTAGAGCCAGCATCTGTTTAAGAACCAGTGACTGAAGAAACCTTTAGCCCACCTATTCATACAAAAAAATTCATACAAAGGAAGCAACTTTCAGTTTGGTTTCCTAAGGAAACAGGATTTATGCCACCATCCTGCCCATCTGCCAGTTATTCTCCTCTCAATTTCTCTTGAGGTGTACAGGCAACTTCAACTAGATGTGACAAAGCAGAAGTGTCTTTGAAGATGTAGTTCTTGAACCACTGTTGAACCCTGGACAGGAAACAGGGCAGAGTTACCCTCCTGCTAAAGAAGGCAAAACTCAATTCCTTAACCTTTATAAGAGGCCAGTGCTATCACATGGGTCTCTCCACAGCACAAGTGGCTAGTGTGAGATGGATCTAAAAGCACTGGGAAGCACAGGGGGAAAGCAGGAAGGATGAATAGGAGGTATCACACAGCTTGACAAGAAGTCGTGCTGGTTTTGGTGCCCATGAGACCTCCTCTTCAGTACACAGGTAACAGGGATGCATAAAACAATGAGTGATACACATCAGATAAATAGGAACTTCCCCTTTTCTCTTGTATTTGGAGAGAGAATGAGAAAGAACAATCAAAGATGATGGCAAGCAATGTGTTCAGAAGGAAAAGCATAAATGAAAACAGCTCTCAGCCAGCAAAGGATAGCAAGAGGCAGGCAATAAAGTTAAAGGTTCCTCAAGCCTCATCGATTCCTAATGACTCTCATGCTCAAATTCCTGGCAAAGATTTGGGTCTCAAATTTTATCTCAAGAGCACAAGAGGAGTTTTACAAGTTACCTGCATGCAAATAGAGAGCAGGGGTGCCTCAGCCACTGGAGAGCTTGTGCTATCCCCTTCTCAGCACCCTGGAACCTGCTGTGGGAACCAGCTCTGCTTATCTCACGCTGCACTGCAGCCCTGGGCTGAAACTCCGGTGCCAACAAGAAAACTGGAAGAGACTTCCTTTCAGTTAGGTAACAATTTGGTAGCCAAGCACATTTAAGCAGCCTCAGGGAGCTTAATTTCTGTTATGTTGCAGGCCTGGACCACTACAGTTTATGGGCTGTGACAAGCCTGCTCTGTACAACAGGTCCCCTTAAGAAAAGATGGATGTACAGCTTCGTTAAATACAGCCCACTGGGGCTTGAGCAGCTAGTACCTAATGAGCTTTTCTGTCTCTTAGATTGAGCAACCTCAGCCTGTGACCTGAATGTCTTCTGGT